AGGCAGCCCTTCAGGTATTGCAACTTTTGCACCTCATTGATGGAGGCGTTAGCGTGAATGATTGACTGGAAAGCGTCAAAAAAGGGTGTCCACTCTTCGTATTTGCCCGAAAAGACCGGGAGCTCTAATTTCGGCAATCTTACGTGTGTAGTCGCTCTCGGTATTTCAGACACATTTGAAAGGGAAGGGGATGGCGTGGTTTCGCTTCGCGGTAGGACCTGTGGTACCAGTAACTCGCGTATTCTGGCTGCTAGAGTGTAAAATGCATTTTCGAAATCGTTGCGGTGGGTTGATTCGCCCTTGTCAAGAGTTTCTATCTGTAACTGTACATTTTGATACTCAGACCAATTATCGTTCAATTTAGTTCGACGTTCTTCTAGTTGCGCCGCTATGGAAGGTGTAATAATTTCGAGTGATTCGACAAAGGTTTTGGTTCGCGTACATGCACCTAGAATTACTGCGCGACGCCTTTTGAGGGCAGTAATATCTTGCTCGCTTGCCATTGTGCTACGGTGGATGATACTTAAACGGTTATGACTCGATTTGGCAGTGTGATTCCTCTGAATGATTGCCCTTACCTGAATCGAAATACGCAGAGGGAAAATGTCCGCGTTGAATGCCCTGATGCAATAGTGATGCCCTTGAAATCCGCCGCGAGTGGTGACCCCGACGTGATTCGTTCCCAGTGCCGTCTCGAGCCGTCTTACGGTGGCCTCCTGGTGGTGCCGACGGTTGCCCTGGTGATATGCAGGTTAGCTACCTCCTGCGTGCGCGACTGGCATGCGCCGATGTCTCTGGAAGCCGCAGGATGCAGATTCGCCTCTTCCGTTGTGCGACTGGCATGCGCCGAAATCTCTGGAAGCCGCAGGATGCAGATTCGCCTCTTCCGGTGTGCGACTGACATGCGCCGAAGCCTCTAGAAGTCGCAGGAAACGGTCTCTCGTACGCTTGATACCACCAGACTAATGGTGCTGGTGGAGGTTATGTTCGTCCGGACGCTGCAGATCTCCCCGTTGCCGTGGAATCCTTGACGGATCCGGCTCGAAGGACCAAAGATGTTAAGTGCTGTGGCTCGCAAGACCGATACTGTGCTCGGTCTGCTGGGCCTTTTCCACGCAATGGCCGCGGTAGGATTGCTTCGTAGCCGCGTGGTCGAAGAAATGATTCTTCTCGGTTATAATGTGTTTTATTGGGCAGCTTACAATCGTCCGGCGTACTGCGACGAGCAGTGCGACACGAGCTCTCTCGTAGAGTCGTGTTTTTGCTACGCTTGTGCTTGATATTGATATCGGCGGAAAACGTTTGCCGATGCGACTCGTCTTAGTTGCGTATACGAGAATACTAATGCTACGCGCGGGGGATCGCGCGAGTGAGCGCGCAAGAAGAACGTGTGGTGGCGCTGGTAACGCTTCGTGCGTTCGCAAAGCGGAACGGTGAATGTCCGGTACGGAACAAATTACAAGTTCCGAAACGTAAAAATTCCGAGTTTAAACGCGATATCCTGTGCTCTCGTATTTAGTCTGGCGACGCTGTGTAGTGTAGAAGTGGGTGCGTTGTCAATCCGGACGAGGGTGCAGCGGGTAGCGTAAGAATTATAAGTTCCGAAACGTAAAAATTCCGAGTTTAAACGCGATATCCTATGCTCTCGTATTTATTCTGACGACGCCTTGTAGTTTTTAAGTCGATAGAGTGTCATTCGTGACGACGCTGCAGCGAG